TGAAACTAACAAAAATTCAATGCAAACAAATACAACTCACGAAGCTGAAAGCCCTAGCAGCAGCAGCAGCAGCAGCAACAGCAGCAGCAGCAGCAGCAGCAGCAGCAGCAGCAGCAGCAGCAGCAACAAGTCAAGAAGAAAAGGAAAAAGAAGACACCGCAGCAGCTGCAGGAGAATCTGCAACAGCAGAGAAAGGAGAAGATAAAGAAGAGAAAGAAATAGAAACGGAAAATAAAACAAAAACACAAACACAAACAAAAGAAACAAATGAAGAGAAGGAGCCGCCACCACCACCAGAAGGAGAAATACAAAAAACAGAAAAAAATAAAAAAAATAATAATGATGATTCAGATGCTGCAACAGCAGCAGAAGAGGAGAAGGAAATAGACAAGCAAGAAGAAACAACACAAAAAAACAAACAAAAAGAAATAACAAAGAAATACAAACAAAAAGAAAAAACAAAAAAAGATAAACAAACAGAAACAACAAAGAACCCAAGACGCAATAAAAACAAAACAAACAAACAGATAGAAACAAAAAGCACAAACACAGCAGAAGCAGAAAAAGAAGAAAAAGAAGAAAAAGAAAATAAAGAAAAAGAAACAGAAGAAAATGGAAATGAAGAAAAAGAAAAAGAAAGAAAAGAAAAAGAAAAAGAACAAAAAGAAAGAGAAGAAAAAGAAGAAAAGGAAAAAGAGGAAAAAGAAGAAAAAGAAAGAGAACAAAAAGAAAAAGAAGAAAAAGAAAAGGAAAGAGAACAAAAAGAAAAAGAAGAAAAAGAGAAAGAAGAAAAAGAAGAAAAAGAAAAGGAAGAAAAAGAAGAAAAAGAGAAAGAAGAAAAAGAAAAAGAAGAGAAAGAAAAAGAAGAAAAAGAAAGAGAGCAAAAAGAAAGAGAAGAGAAAGAAAAAGAAAAAGAAGAAAAAGAAAAAGAAAAGAAGAAGAAAGTTGAATGCATGCGCAATACAGAGGAGAAGGCAGCAGCAGCAACAGTATCTAACTCAAATAAAACAGAACAGTAAGAAAATAAAATAAAAAATAAAATAAAAAATAAAATAAAAAATAAATTGTTTTTATTTATATAAATAAATAATAAACAGAGAAAGAGAGACAGAAGCAGAAGAAAAAAAGAAAAAAGAAGAAAAAGAAAAAATAAAAAATAAAACAAAAGAAACAAAAAATAACAACAAACGCAAAGGTAAGCATCTAAACAACCTAAAAAGAAAAACAAAAAAAACAAAAACAAAAAAAAAACAACAAAAACAAAACAAACTAACAAAATAAAAGAAGAAATAAAAAAACAAAGAGAGACATATTTATTTTATTTTATTTTTATTTTTATTTTTATTTTTATTTTTATTTTTATTTTTGTTTTTA